CCTCGCCTGTCAAATGGGTATACTCATCGTACCCGCCTCGTCAGGCGGTTGGAAGATTAAAACGCTTGGAAGAGGGCCTAGCATGCAGTAAACCTCAGTGTTAGCTGCTGTTAGTAAGTGCAGATGAGGAAACTGAGGTTTAGGGAGGTCAGTTAACAAGGTCACATAGCTACAGTGACATATGGAGATGGCACGCGCACCCATGCCAGGCCTCGGTCACCCCATAGAATGCACTGGGTTCGGGAATGTCTGGGCTCAGAGGCTGTGACCCCTGGGGTGGGAGAGAGCTCCAGGTTGAAGAATACGGATTGTCTTAATTTGGAGGGCACTTGGTCAAGGTGACCCCGAGTGACCTTGGGTCGTAGCTGTTTGCGGAAAGGAAGTCTGATTGGGAGACACAGTTGCCTGGAGTCAGATGTGTGTCTGTTTTGACCACCCGCAGGGGGTGGCCACGTGATTCTGGGAGGGGTGCTTCGCCTAGACCAGCCAAGGTGAGGGTCAGGCCAGCCCCAGAATTCCTGTCGCTGGACTGGAGAGGGGAGGGGAGATCAGAGCAGGCTCCAGGGACTGCCTGCTGTCCTTTCCCCTCCCCTTCCCCCAACCTCCTCTGGCATGTGTTTCCTTTCAGAAGCTGTGCTGGGGCTCTCAGACGGGGCAACAAAAGCAACTTCCCTCCAAGCCACTGCCACCTGTTGGGTTTTCATACATTGGGGGTGAGCGGGGGGAGGGAGCCGTTGCCCTTTTCCCAGTGTCTGCAGGGTGCCCCCTCTGCGCCCCCAGGGACTGGGATTCTCTTTGCTGCCCAGTGTGGCGGGGCTCGGGAGCTGGAGGGGGTGGGGGCCCGCAGCAGCTGGAAGGGGAATTGAGTGGGAAGGGGCCGGTGCTGGCAGCCGGGAGGGAGTTTGATGGATTACTCTGCAGGCCGAGAGGTTTCTCCCTAATCCCCCTTTGTGTCCCGGCCTGCCGGCCCCTCACTCTCTCTGACAAGCTGCTAAGCAGAAGCCTTCCAGACCGAGGGAAGAAAAGGCAGCGCCGCAGGGCGGACTCTAAATCCCTGGCCTCTGGGCCCTGGGGAGGCAGGAGCTAGGGAACAAGTCTGGATGGGGGTGGGGCCTCCTCTCTGCTGATGTCGGGGTGGAGAGGTTGCACTCTGAGTGGGGTTCTCAGGTGTCTGTGGGAGCACTGGGAGGTTGTGGGTCTTCGCTCCTCGTGCAAATCACTGTTGCCTTCGGTAGGGTAGGCTTGCGGGGAGCAGACCCTTGCTTCTTTGGAAGTACGCGTTTGAGCTCAGAGAAACAAAGACTAAATGTGTGTTGGAAGGCATGGAAGCCGTGCTTAGACTAGTCCTGTGTCCCCCTCTCCCTAGCTGCCCAGGCAGAAATTCCCACAGCTCAGCATCCCTGACGAGGGGGTCTGTCACGGTGGAGAGCTCATTGCCTCACAAGGATGTTCATCTCCAGTCTGCTGTCTGGCCAGCGCAGGCTCTTTCTGGGCTGTCCCAAGACTCCTGTGGACCTGCCGTGAGGGCAGAGCTCATTTTGGGAGTGCCATATGCTGGGTTTTACGAGGTAAGACCAAGGGCACTGGTCCCCTAGGACTTCTGTGCCCCCAACCTAGAGGATCTGGGAGAGCACAACTTGGAATGAGATTCTGGGGTCCAGCCCGCTGTGGAGGAACAGGGCTCCCCCTTCCCGTGCAGTCTCACGTCCTCTACCTGTGGGCTTCTCACCACCTGCAGTCCTGGCCTGGGCCAGATGGCCCGGGCTGGGGTGTGCGTTAGGGAGATTGGCCTGGAGTGACCCCACCCCTTTCTGCAGCTGAGTCATTATTCCTCGTGGCTGGCCTACCCCATCCCCAGTTTCCCTCTCTGCAGGGAGGGGCTTCCCAGTGGCCGCGTGAGAAAGAGCACAGTCTTTGTGAGCGTGGAGGGAGGACGCAGGGTCGTCGGCTCGCGGGGTCAGGGTGCGGCCGTTTGATGTGCCTGGCCGGCTGTGGGGACGCTGGCCCGCATAAAGAGGCCATAGAATTGCTGCCTGACACTGGCCCACTGCGGGGCTGCCCCCAGCCCGGCTCCCTCTGACCTCTGTCCTTCAGCGGAGGGAATCTGCTCCCCCAGCTCCACCTCAGCCGCGAGGGGTGTCAGGAGCCCCTTTGAAAGCCCTCAAAGGCCTCTTTATATATCCCTCTGACACTCCCTTCCCAGAGGAGCTACCAGGAGGTGCCTTTCCTCCTGCCTCCTCCACTCTTGAATTCTGGAGAAAGTTCAGGCCAAGTTTGTTCCTGTTGCTCAGTTTCATTTCCCTGTGCTCCCTGCTGAGGTAGCGGGGTGGGCAGGGATGGGGCATTCCAGCCTGGGAGGCTCTGTCCCATCCACTCACCACCTTTGAACCCTTAGGAGAGCTGCCCCCTCTGGGGGTCGGGCTGGAATTTCCTTGGTGCGTGGGGGGATGGGGGCAGGCGCTTAGGTCTTTCCTGTCTCTTCCGCCTCCCACTCCCAGGCTGCTTTCAGCCATCTATCCTGTAGGTAAGCATTTCCCAGGCCCCTTCTCATGCTAGGGTGGGTGCTGGAGAGTTGCAGTGGAGCCTACAGCCTGCTCTGGGGGTGCACTCGAAGTCTCCCGGTGTCTGGAGCTGGGTAGGTAAAATGCAGGTTCCCCGAACGTGCCCACGGCTCTCAGTCTCCAGGGCTGGAGCTCTGCTCCCCCAAGGGTGAGGGAAGATGGCCTGGAGCAGAGCTCCCTAAAGGTTCCCAGAAGTCTCGGGTTTCCTCCAGCTTTCTTGCTGTCCCGTTATCAGGGGGCCCAGGAAAGGGGGGAGATATTTGGACCTTGAGAGGGACTTGTCCTCCTTAGAAGGCTGCTTTCACAAGGTTAGGCCAGACTCCCCCTTTCAGGTACCTCCACTTCCCTCCTCTTCCCGCCCCCTCCCCACCAGGTGAGCACTCAGGGGCTGGCTCTTCTGGTTGAGCTTCTGTTTGCCGGACCGGACCGGGCGCTCCAGGAGCAGTGGGGCAGGAGGATCTGAGTCAGAAGCATCTCTGAGGCTGGAGGGGAGGGTTGGATCCTGTTTCCCCATCTGTATTCCTGAGCGGGGAGGGGGGAGCCCCTGAAACAGAGGGACCCAACGGGGATCTGTCACTTTCAAGCTTTGGGAAGAAGTGTGCCCTGGGGCTGTGGATTGGAGTGGGTGTGACAAACTGCTTCCTGCTCCCCTCTGAACCTGGGACCCTGGGGCCTGGGCTCTTCTCTTTGTGTCCTTGGGAAGAAGGCCCTGGAGGGGCCACTGGTGACTTGAGCTTGTGCTGTGGGTGTCCTCTGTAGTTTCTTCCACGTGAGGGCTGGGGTGGGGATGCAGTGGGGGAGGCTGGGGCACTGGGGAAGCTGTAAGGAGGAGAAAGGGGGGACTTTGGAAGGGAGAGTATTCTTATGGTCTTGGACTTTTCTCGGGCACTTCTGGGCTGGGAAGAGTCAAGTCTGTGGTGGCGAGAGTGCCCAAAAGAGGGAGGACGGGCTCAGCAACCTAAGAGGAGAGGGGTGCAGAGCAGGGCTGGAGCCCGCCCACTTCCTACCCAACTCCTTTCAAGGAATTCCTTACCTGGCCCAGCCCCTGGTCACTGGGTAAAGCACCTCTGGGGGTGGAGAGAGGGGCTGGGAGGGGGAAGCAGCTGGGCGGGGGAGGCGCTGGGCTGTAGGAGGATTTTGCCTTTCTCCCTCGTGGGCTGTGGAGGTCCTGCTTGGTGCTGGGAGTGGGGAGCTGGATTAAGGGAGGGAGTAAGTCAGGTGGGGTGATTAACGTTTGCTGGAGAGCTGCAATTTATTTAAACCACAGGGAGCAACCAGGGCTTGGGTGCATGTTGTGGGAGAGTCTGCGTCTGATAAAGTCTGTTTACTCAGGGAGGACCTGGTCCCTTTAAAACCCAGGGCAGGTGAGTCTCCAAGGCCCTCCCAGACTTGGTGGAACTTGGGGGAGGCGGCTGCCTAGCCTTGTCTGAAGTCCCTTCCTTGGTCTATAAGCTGCAAAGCCCTGGAAGGCAGTTACGGAACGGACACATCTTACCCAGGATTGATGGCCGTCTGTTTCCTTTGTGGCACAGCTCAGAGAGCAACCTACAACATGCTTCGTAACACAAAAGTCCCTGCGGGGCTTAGTGATATTTGAAACGATAAAAGAAGTTGAAGCACCAAGTCATGAGCTGCTGAGATTGGAAGAGGGCATGAGTGAGGGCCGAGGGTGCTCCAGGAAGGCTCTCGGGTGGGCCCAGGCCCTTGGCAGTAAACCTTGCACAGGAGCAGTGCTCTTCAACAGTGTCAATGGGGTTGAGTCGGTGAGGCCAGGGAAGGCACTCCAGACTCTGGCCATAAGTGGCGTGAAGCTCTGTCCACCCGTCTACGCCGCCATGGGATGGATGACAGGTTGGGGGACTAGGCCCCACCCTCTATACCTTCTCTGCATAGCTGACTTGATTTCCCCTCTTTTGTGGTCACTTGTAAACAGCGGACTGCAGTGGGTGCCACAGTCAGGAAGCAAGACCTGGAGGCCCACTGCCTGTGGGTGGAGGACCCAGGGTGGGTACTCCCCTGGTGGGATGTGTCTGCACAGGAGGCCTAGCAGGAAGGGCTGTGGGGACGTCTGCTGAGAGTGGAGCCAGGTGGGGAGAGAGGAAGTCTGCCCCGGGGTCACTGACATCATCGCAGTGGCCGCCAGGTGGTGCGGTTTCATGCCCCTGTGAGGCTGGAACCTGGGACCGGTCCCACTGTCCCCTGACAGTTGAGCAGCGCGTGTGGGAATATGTCCTCCCCATGGACGTTGAGCATGGAGAGAAACTCAAGGTAGAGGTTTTCAGGCCTAGGTTCTTCCCGGGGAGCGCTTTTTTTTTTTTTTTTTGCAGTACGTGGGCCTCTCACTGTTGTGGCCTCTCCCGTTGCACAGCACAGGCTCCAGACGCGCAGGCTCAGCGGCCATGGCTCACAGGCCCAGCCGCTCCGCGGCATGTGGGATCTTCCCAGACCAGGGCACGAACCCGTGTCCCCTGCATCGGCAGGCGGACTCTCAACCACTGCGCCACCAGGGAAGCCTGGGGAGCGCTTTTTAAGTGGTTTCAGTGAGAGGTTAAAACCCAACCCGACGAACCACAGCCTCTCTGGTCTTCCTCCTTGCCCTCGTCCTTGGGGTGGAGTTATGGTGCAGCATGGCTTGTGGCCAGGTAGTATGGAAGAGGAAGTGTGACTCTTAACGAAGGGGAATTGAACAGCCCAGCTTTGGGAAGTAGAGAGAGAAAAGCGAACAAACCAGGCCTGGCAGAGGGCCTCCAGGGGGCACCTTGGTAAACAGTGCCTCGGGAACTGGGAATTCAGTTGGTTTGATTTTTTTTTTTTCCTTCAATACTAGGAAACAAGGGCAATTGCAAAGATATTCCAAAACAGAGAATTACTGACATCTAGTTGGCTCTGGAGTGTACTGAGGTTTAAAAATCATATTTACCTTATGAATATGTCAACCTTAGGCTAGTATTAACATGCACTTCCTGATTGGCCAGTAGGGAGTGACACCTGGGTAGCAGGGCCACACCATCAGCCCGGGAGTGAACAAGATTCAGAATTCAGAGCAAATCCTGGAGATCAGATTCACGGGAATCTCTGTGTGTGTGATTGTCCCAGCTCTTTTAGGATCTGAGTGTTGAGTTATGTCCCCACCGAGGCACCCCACGACGACAGACAGGCGGTTAGCATGGCTGAGAAACTAGACCTGCACGGAGGGCCCGCAGAAATGGGTTTCTGGCTGAGTCCTACGCGGTCGGTGGCAGCGAGGAGGAGAGGCCTAGGCGTCTGGAGCAAGGCTGAGATGGAGCAGTCCTGGAGTGTGTGAACAGGCCAGAGCCCTACCCGCCTGGCGCATCATGGTCCAGAGGCTGGGGGTGAGCCGCCTGCTGCGGCATCGGAAAGCCCAGCTCCTGCTGGTCAACCTGCTGACCTTCGGCCTGGAGGTGTGCCTGGCTGCGGGTATCACCTACGTGCCACCCCTGCTGTTGGAAGTGGGGGTAGAGGAGAAGTTCATGACCATGGTGCTGGGTGAGTCCCTACATCCTCCTTCCCTCCTGCTCCAGATATGTGTCCCCTGGGGAAGTAGGGCGACAGGGCCTCTGCCCAAAGAGCTGCTTGGAGGCAGAGGTGGCTGCCTGCTGTCCCTGAGCCTGGTGGGTCAGCCTGGCTGGGGAGGGGGTGACCCTGGGCTGAGGGGGTCTGAGAGAAACAGAAGGGTACAGGGACGTTCCCTGGTGACCTCTGTATCTCTGGTCCCTACGCCATGCATGGCCCACAGGAGACACTGGAGAAACTGCCCTTTGTAATTCCTATCTGTGGTCTCATTTAATTCCTGCAGCAACGCTTTGAGGTTACCCATTTCACAGAGAGGATGATGGAAGCTAATAAGCCGTCAGGTGACTTAGGCTGCTGGACGGTAGCTTAGCTGCTGATTAGGAGGGTCGGGACCACCCTCGGCCCCCACCGCCAGGGCTCTTTCTTGCCGCTAGGGCAGGGGCTGGGCTCCTAACTGCGGACGAATTCTGTAAAAGCCACGGAGGGCAAATGTCACCATCATGTGACTCCCAGGAAGAGGGGGCTCTGTCAGGATGAGAGGCTCTGGGGTCCGACTGCCCGTTGAAACCATGCCTGTGCACGGCGATCACCGGTCAGTTGGGGCACCAGTGATCCTAGTTGTGAGCAGTAAATTGGGGTCCTGTGAAGTACTCAGCACAGCCCCCGTACACAGTGGGCCCTCCATGGGATATCATCATCATTTCCACCCTTCTCGAGGCAGTTGGTACCCTTCCCCCTGCCCCTTCTGGGCCCCAGCCTCCAGCTCATACTACTTGCCCTCCTTGCAGGCATCGGTCCGGTGCTGGGTCTGGTCTCGGTCCCGCTCCTAGGCTCGGCCAGCGACCACTGGCGTGGGCGCTATGGTCGCCGGAGGCCCTTCATCTGGGCCCTGTCCCTGGGCGTCCTGCTGAGCCTCCTCCTCATCCCGAGGGCCGGCCGGCTGGCGGGGCTGCTGTGCCCGGACACCAGGCCCCTGGAGCTGGCGCTGCTGATCCTGGGCGTGGGGCTGCTGGACTTCTGTGGCCAGGTGTGCTTCACGCCGCTGGAGGCCCTCCTCTCTGACCTCTTCCGGGACCCAGACCACTGTCGCCAGGCGTTCTCCGTCTACGCCTTCATGATCAGCCTGGGGGGCTGCCTGGGCTACCTTCTGCCTGCCATCGACTGGGATGCCAGTGCCCTGGCCCCCTACCTGGGCACCCAGGAAGAGTGCCTCTTCGGCCTGCTCGCCCTCATCTTCCTCACGTGCGTGGCAGCCACACTGTTTGTGGCTGAGGAGGCAGCGCTGGGCCCAGCCGAGCCCGTGGAAGGGCTGTCGGTCCCGTCTGTCCCACCCCACTGCTGCCCGTGCCACGCCCGCCTGGCTTTCTGGAACCTGCGCGCCCTCTTTCCCCGGCTGCACCAGCTCTGTTGCCGCATGCCTCGCACCCTACGCCGACTCTTCGTGGCCGAGCTGTGCAGTTGGATGGCATTCATGACCTTCACACTGTTTTACACAGACTTTGTGGGCGAGGGGCTATACCAGGGTGTGCCCAGGGCTGAGCCAGGCACCGAGGCCCGGAGACACTATGATGAAGGTAGGGCTTTGGCAGCCCGGGGCCCTGTTGTGGGAGCTGCCCTCCCGTGGATGTTCGGGTGCAGGGAGATGCCCACAGCCTGTGCCTGGGCTGGAAGCTGTGCACTGGGCCCCGATTTCCCCATCAGGACGATGGCCCCGTGTGCAGCCTGCGTGTGCAGCTGCTCAAGGAGTGAGTGGCTTTGCTGCAGTCGCAGCAGGGCCTTGGGCTGATCGGGGAGTTTGATCAGGCATTGCCCCAACTTGATGGAGGACGAGGCTGGGCTTGTTTAAGGTCCAGAAGCTGGGCCTTGGGTTCGCCTGGCCCGAACTTCAGTGTGCCCTTTGCTCCCCTACTGACTTTCCAAATCGCCTTGCCAGCCCCTTCCAGCTCAGGCGTCTGGAATTCTATCTTGGAGCAGAAATGTCTTTGTGTTCCCTCTACGTCTCCTGACAGGCTGAGCACAGCCAGCCCTTAGAACATCTTCCTCTGCCCTTAGCCCGTGGCTTTGGCCACATTCCCTGAGGTAGTGGAAGAACTTACACCCCCGTTGCTATGGGCAGGGCGGGGGATGCTGGGGAGCAGTTCCGGAAAATAGCAGGTCTTGGGCAGCAGGTGCCTGTGGCTCCTGATTCTGAGCACCCCTCCCCCCTCATGGTATTGGGTCCTTTTTCCCTACCCACTGTCTGATGGCTTCTTCCCCCTCCCCACTCCAGGGGTCCGGATGGGCAGCCTGGGGCTGTTCCTGCAGTGTGCTATCTCCCTGCTCTTCTCTCTGGTCATGGACCGGCTGGTGCAGCGATTCGGCACCCGGGCAGTCTATCTGGCCAGCGTTGTGGCTTTCCCCGTGGCTGCCGGCGCCACGTGCCTGTCCCGCAGCGTGGTGGTGGTGACCGCTTCAGCTGCCCTCACTGGGTTCACCTTCTCTGCCCTGCAGATCCTGCCGTACACGCTAGCGTCCCTCTACCACCGGGAGAAGCAGGTACTCGCCCTGGCCGCTGAGTGGAGTGGGGTGGAGGGGCAGCTGACCAGCCCAGGACCGGTGTCTGGCAAGAGAAGCTGGAGAAGGAATTCTTTGATCAGAGAGGAAGCCTGTTGTAGCCCCAGGGCCAGAGACTTGGGCTGCGGAAGGAGGGTGTAGATTAGATTCTGGGAATGACTTCCTGGTGTCAGGACTATAAAGCACTTAAAGTGGATGATTGCAGGAAATGTGAAATCCTTCTCTGGAAATCCTGAAGAATCAGCCTAGCAGAAGGCCTCAGTCAGGGCTGAGTTGTTCTGTGCAGAGGCAGGGGGCTGGATCAGATGACCTCTGGGGCACCCGGCTTCAGCAGCCAGTGAGTGGGAAAGGTCTGGTGTGGGCCACGCCTCTCATTCAGGGCGGGACCTTGTGAGTGACCCAAACCTTGCTTTGGTCTCGGAGATGGGGAAAGCTCCCTACCGCCCCTTCCCCTCTTTCGGTTTGTCTTCCTTTTCTGTTTAATTCTCTCTTTTCTTTTCCTGCCTCCCTCCTTTGCCTCGTCCCCTCCCCCCGCCCCCATGGCGGATCTCTGAGCCTGATGCGCCTGACACCGCTCGCCTGGGCACTGTGTAAGTTGGGGGGCCTCCTTCCTGCTCAGCCCCACACTAACCAGCCCCTCCAGGGGCCCCCTTCTCTGGGAAGCCTCCTGACCAGGCTGTGTGGTCACCTTTGTTGTCTCCATTGGCCTCACTGAGCTACAGCCCTGGGTGCAGAGCTCTGCCCAGAGGGCAAGAAGTTGGGGCGTCCCAAGGAAAAAGAGATGCAGCCTGGCTTCATAGGGCTTCTAGACTGTAGGAAAGACATAGTCTGCCCCTTGTAGGACATGGGTGGGGTAACTGCGAGGCTGGTTAAGCGAATAGGTAGCTGCAGGGGTGGGGGCGGAGGTGGGGCTTTGGGGTGGGGGTGGAGGTGGGGCTTTGGGTTGGGGGAAGCTGGTCCCTGAGTCCCCTGTCAGTGCATTGAGAACCTTCATTCTCCTCCACGCTCTCCCGCCCTGGTTGGGCTGGTGTCCAGAAGCCAGGCTTGGGCATGTGCCAGGGAACGTGCCGAGCTGGTGGTCTTCCCTTCAGGCTGAGAACACGTCTGTCCCCAGGGGCCTCTCCAACCTTCAGCCACACTGATCTTTTGTGGGGTGGCAGGCAGGAGGTGAGGTTCCAGGCATGGTTGGCCCCGCACCCCATCTACGTCTGCTTTGTCCACTTCTGGCTGCACCACGAGCCTTGGGATTCCCTGGTGTCAGGCTTGAGCTCTGCTGTGGCTCCCAGCGCTCACGCAGCTGACCCTGAGAGCTCTGTGTTAGGCACTAGTGGGCCTTGGAAAAGCGGTCAGATGAGTTCTGGCCTCGTCCTTAGATAGGAGGGCGGCTCTGGGACCTTGCAGGCAGGGCAGGGGCAGGTCACACTGATCCAAGGCAGACAGTGAGAGGGAACAAGAAGGCTTCGGCCTCAGCACAGCTGGACCATGGGAGTCGGGAAGAGGGCGATTCTCTCTGTTCCTCGCTTCCTCTAGGCTGAGTCTGAGGACCCTCCCTGCCCCAGGCTGGGGCCGCAGACCTCACAGTAGGGCAGCAACTATAGCCTGGGCCTGGGACCCACAGTGGGAAGGGAGCGTCTCTCTCTGGTCTCTCTGGAGGTTGACAAGGGTGTCCCAGTAGTGAGCTGGTAGGGGCAGAAGGAGGAGGGTTAGGAGCATCTGTGTGGGGCTTTGGGGCCTTTGGGGCCCCACCTTTGAACTTTGTTCCTCTGCTCTGACATGTCTCTCTGCCCACCTGTCTTCATTCTTCTGTGTCTTTCCTTTTCCTTGGGGTTCTGTTCTCTTCCTAACCTGCAGTACTGAGTTTGTCTGTCACTTACTGATTCTAGGAGAGGCTAGAGGAGACCTAGACTTCTGGTTTCAGATGTCCCCTCCTGGCCCCTGCCCCCCTTCTGAGGAGAATCCTCACTAGACCCGGACCAAGCAAGGTCTGCTCAGTTTTCTGACCTGCTGCCCGATTTTCATTAAGGCCTCGTGCCTGGTTTCTTCTAGCCCCTGGGATAAAGGCCAGGGCCTGTTCTCCTAGTTGGGGGATCCCATGCTTGGGTACATACCTGTCCTTGTGTGTTCCCCTCCTCCCAGGTTTTCCTGCCCAAATACCGCGGAGATGATGGAGGTGGTACCAGTGAGGACAGCCTGATGACCAGCTTCTCGCCGGGCCCTAAGGCCGGATCTCCCTTCCCCAATGGACTCGCGGGTGCTGGAGGCAGCGGCCTGCTCCCTCCTCCACCTGCACTCTGCGGGGCCTCTGCCTGCGATGTCTCCATGCGTGCAGTGGTGGGCGAGCCACCGGAGGCCAGGGTTGTTCCGGGCCGAGGCATCTGCCTGGACCTTGCCGTCCTGGACAGTGCCTTCCTGCTGTCCCAGGTGGCCCCGTCTCTGTTTATGGGCTCCATTGTTCAGCTCAGCCAGTCTGTCACTGCCTATATGGTGTCGGCTGCAGGTCTGGGTCTGGTTGCCATTTACTTTGTCACACAGGTGGTATTTGACAAGAGCGACTTGGCCAAATACTCTGTGTAGAGTACTTCCAACCCATTGAGGGAGGACCTGCCTCACTGGGTCCCAGCTCTCCCTATTCCAGTCCCCCGTTGGCGGTGGGGCTGTGGGCTGGCCTTCCAGTTTCTATTGCTGCCAAAGTGGTGTGGCTCTCTGCTGCCGCCCTGTGGCAGTGAGGTGTATAGCTGCACAAGTAGGGGACTGGGGCTTCTTCCCTCCCACCTCTCCTCAGTCTTTAGGGCTGGCTGACTGGAAGCTCTCCAGCAGGCTTCAGTCTGGACTTCCACAAGGAAAGAAGGGCAGGGCATTTAATTAACTCTGTGCACTGGAATGCAGGACTCTGCCGGGGGATCACCCAGGCTCAGGGTTAACAGCTAGTGTCCTGGTTGAGAAATACCCAGAGAAGGGATTTGGGGAGCTGAGTAAACTCAGCCACCTCGTCTCCTGCAACCAAGACCTCTTATCCCATAGGTTCTCCCAGTGTCGCTCTTGCATGGGTGTTTGTGATGTGAAACGGCTCCTCTACAGGATTTGAAAGTATGAAAGTTATTGGGGGACGCGGTCCCGAGGGGAGAAGGGAAGCTGCCTAACCCCACAGCGCCACCTCTCTCCTGTTCCCCCTCCCCTGCATTTTATTAGGACTTGGCTTGTTGGCCCCTGTGTTGCCATCACAGGGACACGGGTTTTTAAATAATTAACTTATTTATTTAAGTAGAAGGGGAATCGATGTGTTTAGGGGTTGGGTAGGATGAGATCCCTAATGACTAGGTCCCCTGAGACGATTGGTTATTGGGCTGAGAATTGTCAGAATCTCCTTCTCCTGGAGTGATTGGTCTGGCCCCAGAACTGCCTAACCCTGAGCCTGGAAGCTCTGCTTACCCCAACTGATATCCCAAATCCTGTTACCCAAGGCGGGGAGGGCTGGGGAAATGTGAAGGGTGGGGCTTCAGGTCTCAGCAGCCTCCGTAGCCTCACCTCCCCTCTTGGCCCTGCCGTCCCCCCCAGCTCCCCTCTGCTCCCTCTAGGACTGGGCTGATGAAGGAGCTGCCCAACCCCACCTTTCCCCACTGGCTCCACAGCCCTCTCCTTGGGGCTGTTTTAGGACCAGAAGCACAGAGTGTGGCTCCTTGAACCTTTATCCGTCTCAGCCCCCAGGGCATATCTGTGCTTGGGGAATCTAGCACAGAAACTCAGGAGCACCCCCTGCCTGGGCTAAGGAGGTCTTATCTCCGGGGGCTTTAAGTGCCGTTTGCAATAATGTTATGTCTTATTTATTTAGTGGAGTAAATATTTTATACTGTATGTGAGCAATCAGAGTATAATGTTTATGGTGATGAAATTAAAGCCTTCTTATATGTTTAATTGGTCTTTGTGTCTTTTCTGAGCGGAAAAGACCAAATCTCAAATTATCCTCAGCTTCCTTCTCATCAGGACCGTTTTTTGGCAGCTTCAGTTCCCAGCACCACCAGCAGGTGGAGCCATAGACCAACACTCTTTTGTCCTTTGGCGATTGGGTGTGGCTGTGCTTCCCCAGAATTGGGGCGTCCCTTTGAGGGTGAGGGAGAGGGCGGGAGAGTAAGAAGTATAGAGAGTGGGGGCATTTTCCTTCTCAAATGGCTCGCGGTGTGGCCAAGGAGATGGAGCAAGCACCCATTATCAACCACAGCAATAGGAAACCCCTGGCATGAATGGGTGAGGATTCGACACCACTGTGCCTCGGTTCCCACCCTTTCCCACCTCCTTCACCCTTCCTGCCGGGCTCAGGTCAAGTTCAGTCTTCTCAGCCTTGCCGTTTCCTCATCCCTCCAAACTTCACCGGCCTTCCTGTCCCTTAAATTCAAGTGGTCAGTATAGTTAACACCCTAGGCAAGGACTAGCTTTATTTTTAAAATGTTCTGTTTTGTTTAACTTTCTATTAGTTTTCAAACATACACAAGAAATGAGCCTGGTGATAATGAACCCAACTTCAACATTTATTAACATTCTGCCATTTTTATTTCCTCTATTTTCCCTCCCCCACCCTTACCCGCCCCCCCGGGGGGTATTTTTAAAGCATATGGCAGATACAATTTCACTTCACCTGAAAATACTTCAGAATGTATCTTTAAGAAATAGGACTTTTAAACAACTTGATCACAATACCATGAATATATTCAACAAACAGTAATTCCTTATCATCAGTTACCCAGCCCATGTGCATTTTTCCCCAATTGCCTTGAAAATGTCTTTTTACAGCTGGTTTGTTCAAATCAAGATCGAAGAAAAACAACTATTAATTTGCATTTAGTGGTTATGCTTCTTGGGTTTCTCTTAATCTCTAACAGTTTCCCTCTTTTTTTTTTAAATGCCATTCATTGGTGAAGAAACAGCCATTTTTCCTACAAAATTGTTTACATTCTATGTTTGGCTGACTGTATCCTCAGTGTTATTTAAAATGTTCCTTCTTCCCCCCTTTCCCCCCATAATCTGGTAATAAGATCTAGAGGCTTGGTTAGATTCAGACTTGATTGTCCCATCAGAGGGACACAGGCCTTTAAATGTTTAACTTAATACCTCTGTACACTCCTACATAATTTTGAAGAAATTCCAGGTATCATATTCCATCCCTAAATATTTCAGGATGTATTTCAAAAATATAAGCACTTATTTTAAAAAAAAAACACATAGTCACTTTGCTATTATCAGACCAAAAAAAAAATTCCTTAGTATAATCAAATATCCAGTCAGTGTTCACATTTCCCTGTCTCATACATTTTTTTGTATAGTTTTTGTTCAAACTGAAATAAGTTCCTTATGTTGCAGTTGGTTGATGTGTCTCTTAAATCTCTTGTAATCCACAGGTACCTCCTCAATTTTAATCTTTTTCTTTGCAATTCATTTGTTAAGGGAACGAGATTGTTTGTCCTATAGATCATCTGGATTTTGCCGATTGCATCCCTGTAGTGATATTTCACATGTTTTTATTGCCCTTCTATTTTCTGTAATTGCTCTTCTATTTTGGTAATTATAGTCAGAGACCTATTCAGATTTGTTTTTTTTGTTTTTGCAAGAATACTTAATAGGTTTGTGTACCTCCATAGAAGGGAATATGTATTGTCCGCTTGTCTTCCTTTTTTGATGTTAGTAACATTGATATCTTAGATCCATTTTTTCATAGGCATTGGAAAATTATGATATTCTTTTATTTCCTAAACAAATGCTGGACTCTTTCCTTATATTTACCAGTTTTCAAAATAATGAATTGGTTAACTCCTAGTGATGACAGAGGTTTTTCCCTTTAATGTCATTATGTATTCATGTGTTTAAACATATGTGATATGTTTCAATCCTTTGCATTTGCTATTCATGTTCAAATTTTTCCCATCTTTGGCCAGTGGGAGCCTCTTCAAGTTGATTTCTTTGAGTCCTTTTGACAAACTTCTAAGTGGTCTTTGAACGCTGCTTTGCTTTCTAGCATGACTAGATGCCCTGGCTCATCTTGTATATTTCTTGCCATAGACCTGGAATGAGCTGTTTTCTCTAAGGGTCTCTGATTGCTTTTTATGGAAAAAGGTTTTTTCCCATGGAGACCATAATATCGGCATTGGGAGTACTTGTTACTAGGTTGATCATTTGTTGTAGGTCTTTTCAGTGGACAAAGCTAGGAAAAAATTTTTTAATGTAAATACATGGTGAGTTTCTGCTGATATTTCCAATTCAAGTTCAGGATTATAGATTATATATGTTTATATATCTACATACATATGTATTTTACTTCTGTATCTAATTTCTACCACACTGAAACAGAGCTGAAGGCCTGGCCCAAGGCTTTCAGCATGTATGTGTGTATGTGTGAGAAGAAGCAAAAAGAACCACCAGTCAGTAATTAATGTCAGCCTGTCTGTGCCACCAGAACGTAGAACCTGGCCCAGAAGCCATGTTCATTCTTTCTCCTGATCCAAGGGAGAGAGAATGAACACTTGGGCAACCTGTTTCAGAATACACAAAAGGAGACTGGGAATCATTAGGGAACAGGAAACTTGGGCTCAGAGAGGCTTTTCTTTTCTTTCTTTTTTTAAAATTGAAACATAGTTGACATACAATATTATGTTAGTTCCAGTGTACTACATAATACTTCGATATTTGCATACATTATGCAGTGATCACCCCAATAAGGCTAGTGACCATCTGTCCCCATACAAAGCTATTACAATGTTATTGACCATATTCCTTATGCTGTATATTACATACTCATGACTTATTTATTATATAACTGGAGATTTGTACCTCTTAATCCCCTTCAGCTGTTTCGGCTGTCCCCTGGCCCCCTTTCCCTTCTTGTAACCATCCATCGTTCTCTGTGTCTGTGAGTCTGGTTTTGTTTTGTTTTGTTTTTTAGATTCCACGTATAAGTGAGATCATGCAGTGTTTGTCTTTCCCTGTCTGATATTTCACTTAGCATAATACCCTCTAGAGCCATCCATGTTGTCACAAATGGCAAGATTTCTTTTTTATTTTATGGCTGAGTAACATTCTAGTGGGGTGTGTGTGTGTGTGCATGCGTGTGTGTGAGTGCATGCACATATGTACATGTATACCATATCTTCTTTTTGTGTGTGTGTGTGGAGCTGTACTGCATGGCTTGTAGGATTTTAGTTCCCTGAACAGGGATCAAACCCGGGCCCTTGGCAGTGAAAGCGTGGAGTCCTAACCACTGGACTGCCAGGGAATTCCCACCACATCTTCTTTATCCATTCCTCTATTGATGGACACTTAGGTTGCTTCCATATCTTGGCTACTATAAATAATGCTGCAATGCACCTTGGAGTGCATACATCTTTTAATTCAAAATCAGTAATTCAAGTGTTTTTGTCATCTTCAGGTAAATACCAAGAAGTGAAATTGCTGGATCATATGACAGTTCTATTTTTAATTTTTTGAGGAACCTCCATACTGTTTTCCATAGTGCGTGCACCAATTTACATCCCCAACAATATACTAGGATTCCCTTTTCTCCACATCCTTACCAATACTTGTTGTTTGTTGTCTTTTTAATAATAGCCATTCTGACTGGTGTGAGGTGATATCTCACTGTGTGTGTTTTTTTTTAATTAAATACTTTTTAAAATTTTTGGCTGCATTGGGTCTTCGTTGCTGCACACGGTCTTTCTCTAGTTGCGGCGAGCGGGGGCTACTCTTTGTTGTGGTACACGGGCATCTCGTTGCAGTGGCTTCTCTTGTTGTGGAGGAGGGGCTCTAGAGCGCAGGCTCAGTAGTTGTGGCGCACAGGCTTAGTTGCTCCGCGGCATGTGGGATCTTCCTGGACCGGGGCACGAACCCGCGTCCCCTGCATCGGCAGGCGGACTCTCAACCACTGCGCCACCAGGGAAGCCCCAGTATGGTCATTTTAACAATGTTAATTCTTCCAATCCTGATCACAGTATATCTTTTCATCTGTTTGTTGTCTTCAGTTTCTTTCGTCATAGTTTTCCAAGTACAAGTCCTTTACCTCTGTGGTTAGGTTTGTTCCTAAGTATTTCACTCTCTTTGATGCAGTTAACTTCAGAGGGCCTTTTCTAGCACAAGTTTTCAATATTGGGGACCAGCTAAGCCAGCTCACAGGCTGTGAGGCCTTGTGTTGGTAGCACCTCAGTTTTGTTTTTTTTAATATTGGAGTATAGTTGATTTACAATGGTAGTTCCTCAGTTTTAAACTACATTCTTCACAGAAACACCAACTTGCTAAGAAGTACAGAAGGGGAGGAAAGAAGCAGGAAGAAAGGGGACTCTGGAAAGGAGGAGGAAACTGCAAGTAAGCTCAAAGACGTCACAAATAACATTTACAGAGTCCTTTTCATGTGGGGTCTCAGACAAGTGCAACCTGGCCAGTGCCCTTAAGGAAAATTTAATTTAGGTGGAAAGGAATAAGCATGGATGAATCAAATGTTCATAGATGTATCAGGTGGGATGTACGTGGAAAATTCAGAACATGAACCAAAGATACTAACAGAGTTTAGAGAAGGTAAAATGATTTTTTTGTGGTGGAGAGAGGAAGGCTCTCTGGCCTCATCATGCTGGATCCTGCCCATCTCCCAGAGGGGGATGGAGCCCTGGGTCCTGGCTTGTGGTCTGAGCCCAGGAATTGGAGAAAGGGGGGTTGGAATGGGGTTAGATGGGCAGTACTCCATCTTTGTACATTCATGGGTCTTCCTTTCTGGCCTGGGTGCCTCTCCCTGCAGAGCCGGTTACAGTGAGAAAGGAGAGCAGGAAGAGTAGGGGTGGAAACATCCCATGGCGGGCAGCTTGGATCTCGGGTTACTTCTTGTGCAGCTGTGGAAAAAGCCCTTGCTTTCCAGAATCAGATTTGAGTACAGCAGCCTGGCA